CAGGTACCAGGCTTATTTTATATATAAATGATTACAGTGTATCCCGGGTACCAGGCTTAGGAAACTCTATACATTATAATAATTTTTAGGTTGAACCATATGACAGTGCCAATATCAGACAATTTTAATCTATGCAGAGAGAAATTGCACGTGGTTCAGCCTAGCTATATTTTTACTATTCTTTTTTTTTACATATGTCTTTATTGATTTCAGAGAGAGGAAGGGAGAGGGAGAGAGAGAAATATCAATGATGAGAGTCATTGATCGGCTGCCTCCTGCCCGCCCCCTGCTGGGGATCGAGCCCGCAGCCCGGGCATGTGGCCTGACTGGGAATCCAACCTTGATCTCCTGGATCCTAGGTCGACGCTCAACCGCTGAACCACGCAGGCCTGGCAAGTTTTACTATGCTTGATTCCTCCTTGCTCTAACCTACATATTTAATTGGCCTCTATTTTTTAAAATGTACTTAAATTCTCTTAAATTCACCTATGTCACTTTCTACTGCTACTAGTTCAGGCTATAATTCAATCTCTTTCTAGGAGGGGCCGTCTTTGCCTTGGGAATTGGGGGTGCAGACAGAGTGGTTAGGGTGAGGTAGGAAAAGTTTTGCAGAGGAACTGAGCTAAGTCGGTGTCTGTACAGAGAACGGAATGGGATCTCTTCGGTGGATTTTGAAAGAATACAGCATTTTGATATAGGAAAAGGAGACACTTGGTTGTCCAAGTTATATTGTGATTGCACATGAATTAGGTTAATTAATCATCACAGGTAATAACTTAAAACAAAGCAATTGCGTTCTTCTTGGCCAATGAAAAGGAACTGACTGGCATGGGTACTGCTTATATTTGCTGAAAGTCCTGATTTTAAGTATTCTTGTCAGATCATGTCTCTCAATTTTACTTTCATCATTTATGGCTGATCATGAGAAATTGTTTAGTTAACACCAGTGATGCAAAAAACAGCTGTCAGAGGGGAAGGGGGTGGAGGCGGCTGGACGAAGGAGAGAAGGAATTAGCCAAATGGCACACATGCATAACCCACCAACACAGACAACGTGGTGATGGCCAGAGGGAAGGGGCTGGGGTGGCAGGAGCTGGATGGAGGTGGGCAAAGGAAGAAAAACTGGGGACGTCTGTAATAGTGTCAACAATAAAAATAAAGTAAAAAAAGAAAATAAAAACAGGCATGAGCTCAAGAGATATTAAGATTAGATGTTCACACATATTTTCAACATGTATCAAGCATTACGATCAAAAGTTATGGTCTTCATTTCGAGGAACTTAATAGAAGACATCACAAGTCATGAAAAAGAATGTTCTGATCCAACAGGTAGGAGAGCAAAGAATCACAGTGACATTGAATGTCAGAGCAGGAAAGGAATTTAGATATTATCTCATGTGTAATATTTTATAAAATATTATAAATAAAATATTGCTCTCATTGTACAGATGTGTAAACTGCGATCTAAAAACATGAAATAATATGTCAAAGTCATCCTGTAAACTGTGGAATCCTGGGACTCAAATTCAGGACTTTAGAGCTGTAGGTATTGAATCGGAAATAAGTTGAAAAGGACTATATTTTAATCCTTACTATCTTGAAAATTTTTAAAGCATGAAACTTGGCATGCAGTTCATCTCAGTGCTTTGACTTAACCTTGCCTAGAAGTGTGGTCCTAGCTGATAGATTAGTCCCTGTGTAAGAAACTCTTTCAGCGACCTCAGGGAGAAAAGGCCAAGGCCCCTGAAACAGAGGGCAACATTAGACTCTCTCACGTGCCCCCAAAAAATCTGCTATTGGAAGTCAAAGAAGGAAGGGGTTGGTGTGGTCTAGAGTAGTTCGGGAATAAAGAATTGGGGCCCACTCTTTAATAATGAACGGACGGGAAAAGGGTGGCTATTGTCTGAGGGAAGTGGTGGGAACAGCAAAAGTAAAGGAGGAACAGCAGAAGTGAGCCCACTGTGTCTGAGGCTGGGAGAAGCCCAGTAAAGGAGGACTGGCATTAAAGGACAGGAATAAAACATTTGGAATTCTCTTACAGTTCCGTAATTTAGTGATCTTTTTGTCCTAATTACCTTTGGAAGGCAGCCAGAAAGAAAGAGCACATTTTTTATCCAACAACTATAACCAGTAACCTCCTGTCAAGTGCTTTTTGGAGGTGTTGAGGTAACCCAGCCAACAATTAAACTGTCTTTGAATGGGAGGAAGTGCCAAGCACCAGAGAAATTCCAGGGGAGTTTCAGTTCTCACCTATGGGAGCTCACTTCCTTCTGGTGACATGTATAAATAATTGGAAGCCTCTTAGCTTTGAAACAGACTCCTAGGAGATCAGAAGCAACAGCCCTTTCTGAGCTCAGGTAAGAGAGCTTTCCCTCTATCTATACCATCTGGGCATTAGCCCAGTTCTCCCAATCATCTACTGGACCTTGATGTGTTCAGGGTCACATCTAAAGGAGCCCTTTCCATTAGGACAAAATCTCCTAGGGGGTGGGGAGTTGCCATGTTTATCTTTATACTTCAGTACCTGGCACAATATTCAAGATAGTAGGTGCTCAATAAATGCTGAATGAATTGTTGAATTTATCATATATTTACTATACACATACTACATTTAAGGCAAACTAACATCATTGTCTATTTAAAATGAATTATGTGCTAGGTGTATAAATTATGCTTTATTTTGTTTAAATGTTAAAATAAGTTTCTGAGGTGAGTTTAATTATCACCCTTTTGGGGCCAAGAAAACAAAACTCAGAGAGATGAGTTGACTTGTCTAAGGTGGCATAGAAGTAGGGTGACTAACTCATCCGGGTTTATCTGTGACTTTTCCAGTTTTAAAACTGAAAGTCCTGTGTCTCAGGAACCCTCTTGGTCCTGGGCAAACTGGGACAACCCACACTGATGGGAACTTGTAGAGCAGGAATAGTAGCCCGGTTCTCTCGTCTCCAAACGCAGAGTTCTTTCTGATACTTTCTAGTTTGGCCCATTTATTCCTTTTTCCTACATTTGGCAGTATCTCAGGTGGACATGGATATAAAATATATCTGGCATATTGCCTGGCACATAGAAAAAACTCAGTAAATGGCAACGATTATCAGCGCTGTGCCCAGCCATATTGGGGCCTAAGGCCAAAGGAAAGATGTGTTTTTATCTTTCCTATACATGTGTTTTTATGTATTTTCTGTATGTTATAGTTCCAAAACATTAAAGCACTTGAAAAATACTGAAGAATTTAAAAGTAGCTATATTACAACTCACAACATTATTGTAAGTTTAAATATCTTACTTATGCCCCATAGAGAATTTATTATAATTCTACATTCTTGGCGAAGACTCATCACCTGTATTTTCATCATATATTTCTGGGGGGGAAGAATTAACCATTAAAGGTACATAGAAACATATGGCGTAGATAAGTAGGTAGGGGTACACATTTCCCCTTTTGTCTTAGGCTCCAATACGGCTCCGCATGGCGCTGTCAGATTCTGTCTTTATTTAAAATAGTGATATTTTGCTTATCACGGGCTTTTTAAATTAATTTTGAAATTGCACTTCAGTATTATTTAGCTTGATTACTGGGACTTTTGGGGCCCCTTAAAATGTGCCTGAAGCAGGCTCTCCTTCGGTGTCCTCACTAACCCCAGCCCATTCTTATTTTACCGTAAAACTCATCAAACACTATAAAGTGTCATTACGGGGAACGGCTCACCCCCAGAAGAGGTCAGTTTTCCTCTGCCTGTCTTCTCTGTTTGGGGTCACTTCCTTGACCTTGGGCCCCAGGTAAGGGGAGAAGAGGAGGGTGCTCTTGGCTTCCCCAGTCTCCCTGCAGAGGGCGCCGCGGAGTCGACGCCCAGGAGGGCGGAGGAGTGCTGGTGGAATTGGGCTCGCTGCCCATCCCGTGTCGCCTTCCCTGGCAGGAGGATTATTATGCAATCACTGACTTTCTCTTTGCCTTCGGGGCTGAAATAAATCTGCTCTCCCCAAATAACTGATCTGATCTCAGACAAATGCCAAACAGAGCTAAGCTCCTCTGCCCTGAGGTGGCCATAAAAATCCAGACAATTTTCTCCGTGTTTTTGGTGGCTCAGCAACAGCTCCTGCGAGTTCTGTGTTCCCCAGCTTCCCTGCGGGTCTAGGGTGAGCTACCCTGGCATTCGGGAAGGGAAGGCCATACATGTCAATTCCCCGAAACAAGTTTTGACATTTTCCCTGAATTGTCATCCTCTGTCTACTCACTGCAAGTGCCCGCTGCTCCAGGCCTTACCTGCTGGGCAATGACGATGGGGCTGGGATGGGACAGAATAAAGAGCTGGGACCTGGAGCACCGGCTCACACTCAGACCCTGAACAAGCACCGAAGGCTACTCCGAGGAGGCTCAGCAGGTTTTCTTAGTAAGTTAGAGGAACGCACCAGACCCTCGGAGCCAGATAAAGCTATGAAGTTTCAGCCCGTGAGACATCTGGGGGAGGCATGTCCTTGGTGACTGGATTGGCTTCTTGAGGCACGAGGTAGGGAAACAGTAAGTCACACTCTTCCCTTTGAATTCCTAGCTCCTGTGGTCTCCAGATTCTGGCACAAGATGAAAGGCCCTGGTCTCCCCCTCTGCTTTTTCTTGGCTGTGTTTTCTCTCTTCTGGACACCTTCTGCTGGGCTGAAGACACTCCATTTGGGAAGCTGTGTGATCACCACAAACCTTCGGGAAATGAAAAATGGATTTTCTGAGATACGGGACAGTGTGGTATGTGAAGGAAGAACCCCCTCCCTCCAATTTGTGGCTGCTTCTCCCCCTCTTGTCTTGTCTTTTGCTGTCTCCCAGAAGTATGAACACAAAAAGAGGCAGGCTGGGGACTCCTAACCAGGAGGATGCATCCCCAGGAAACATCTCTAGTTCATTATTTAAAAGTGTTTTGGAAAGGGCCACTGCCCAAGGGCCATGGCAAGAAGGGAATGGGAGGTCTCCATGTCTAAGACCCTGGCAGCCATCACTGACCTGTCATTTCTTGCCTTGTCTTCTTCTGCTTAGCAAGCCAAAGATGAAATCATTGACCACAGAATCTTGAGGAAGACGGAGTCCTTGCCAAACACAAAGGTATGTGCTTGGCCCATAGAAGTTCTGGGAGGAAGTATGAGCCAGGGCATCTCTATCACTCTGAGTCTTGTCCCTGGACACCCTCTCCCCACCAACATAACCGTCTTCTTTGTAGCCTGCAGATCAGTGCTGCCTCCTCCGACGTCTGCTGAGACTCTACTTGGACACGGTATTCAAAAACTATCGGACCTCTGACCTCCATATCCTCCGGAAGATCAGCAGTCTCGCCAACTCTTTTCTTACGATCAAGAAGGACCTCCGGCTCTGTGTGAGTAAGGGTCTTGGATAAAGGATTCATTTCAGCACACAGCTCCAATGACTTAGCAGTCAAGCTCTTTCTTACCCCCATTTAATGGATGCAAATACTGAGTCCAAAAGTTCTAATGATCTGTGTTGAGCCTTGTGACTAGGTAATAAGAACTCAGTTTTATTGACTTTTGGGTATATGCCCTGTGTAAAAAGTCTAAAGAACTATGAAATGCTAGCTATTTGATGTTAATAACAATTATCTTTTATCCATGAAATTAAGGTGAGGTATCTAATGGTGTGTGTACTAGTGCATCCCAGGTCCAAGTAGCCAGTCATCAGGCCATTGGACTCAATCTCAAAATAGGGCCTGGATAGGACCTAGGAATCCAATTCTCTCTTTCCATGGTGACTGTCTGGGAGGGGGGTAGGCCAGAGCTGAGTTGGGGGTACAGGCCAGATGGGACACTGTGATTACAAACTCCTTCAGTGCCACCTATTTTTAAAAAGAAACAGCAATGAGCTCTGTATTTGAGCCTGAAAAGCTGGCTTCTTGTTCTACTGATGATTAGCTTACTGATCCCAAATGATGAGATCTGATAAGACTTTTCTGTAAGAAAGGAGTACCTGCAGAAAGGAGAATTCCCACCTACTTCGTGTTAATGGCAGAAAACCAGAATGTTTAATAAAACTTATCATTCTTTGGCATTCTTTGCAGCATGCCCACATGACATGCCCTTGTGGGGAGGAAGCAACGGAGAAATACAGCCAGATTCTGAGTCACTTTGAAGAGGTATATGCAATTTTGGCTTTGGTTGGGATGAGTGTGTTTTTAGAACTGAGATCATAGATGACTGGGATGGGTATTGGTACAGAGAAATCCTGTAACCCTCAGGTTAACAGCTCTCTGAGGTCATGTGGGAAGTCCCTCTGCTTTACTCTAGGGACACCCATCCAGGCTCTAGGAGGTACTTTCTCTGGAAGATGCTTTAAGAATCGAAAGGGAATGGCTATGATTCCATCAAGTCATTCCAGAGACATGAGATCTTCCAGCCGCACGAACAAGGGGCCACAGCTTCCCAACATTCACACACTCATACATACCCTCAAAAACAGTCACTCACAATTTCACACATGCCCACATCATGCTGTTTCTCACCTCAATGCCTTTGTATATCTGCCAGGAAGGCCTAGAGCCCACTCCTCACTAATTCTCCGCATCCTTCAGACTCAGCCTAGAAGGTACTGTTCTTCTCTGAGTTCAGTGCCTCCACTGCCTTCCTGGTGAACTCCATCATTTATTCACCACACTACATTTTTTTAAAGTTTAATTTTTTTTTTATTTTTTAAAATTTATCTTTATTATTGAAAGTATTACAAATGTCCCCCTTTTCCCCCCAATAGTCCCCTCCCCCTTGTACCTCTCCCCTCAGGCCTTCCCCACACTATTGTCTGTGTCCATGGGTTATGCACATATTCATATCAATTCTTAGGTTAATCTCTCCCCACCCACCCCTCCTTCCCTCTGAGATTCGTCAGTCTGTTCCATACTTCTGTGTCTCTGGATCTATTTTGTTCATGGGTTTATTTTGTTCATTAGATTGCACATATGATAAGGTCATGTGACACTTGTCTTTCTCTGCCTGGCTCATTTTTCTTAGCATGATAGTCTCCAGGCCCCACCATGCTGTCTCAAAGGGTAAGGGAGCCTTTGTTTTTACAGCTGCGTAGTATCCTATTGTGTAAATGTCAGAGAAGATGCTTGATATGATTTCAATCTTCTTGAACTTGTAGAGACTTGTTTTGTGTCCTAACATGTCACCACACTACATTTTAACTGCCTGCTTCTGCCTGTCTCCCTCACTAGATTGTAAATTCCCTGAGGGTAGGGGATGTACAATTCATCTGGGGATCCCGAGACAGCCCGGTGTTTAGCACAATAAATATACGTTCCACTGAAGTATGCAGACTATCAATCCCTGTGCGCATGTGCGAACACACACACACTCACACACACACACACACACCCTTTTAAAAACAGCTTCATTACTTTGATCCCTTTAATGCAAGAGGCTTGGGTTGTAGTCCCAATTCTGCTACCCCTCTGGGCCTAGGCTTCCCTATTTCACCAAGCGTGGTGGACACAATGATTTTCCCTCCTTTTGTGAGATCTGGGGTTTCCATAACTTCTTTCGAGCTCTCCCATCGCTGAAAGAAGGCTCTGTTTACGACCCCCAACAGAACTGCCAATGAAAAGAGAGGATTAACCGTGGGGCACAGGCTGTCTGTTTGTGATTTACTCACCACATGCGTGTGTGTCTTTCAGCTGAAGCCTCGGGAAGCCGTGGTGAAAGCTTTGGGAGAGCTGGACATTCTCCTGCAATGGATGGAGGAGACACGCTAGGAGGGCGGCTATGACACCGCTGACAGTGTCCCGGCTACAAGTCCCAGGCCTGAGTGCTGTGGAGACATGACCCCAAACCACCATCTCTTTGCTTTACCATTTAGTGCTGGTCACTGTGTGCATTATTTATTTAATATTTATTTCCTTATTGTGGTTGTTTTCATGTGTTCCCACTCTTAATCTAGACCGTGGATTTATAAGATTTTGGTAATATCTTTTGTACTGTTGGATATATTTATTAGTTAATCTATTTATTTATTTTTGCTATTTAATCTATTTATTTTTGTACTTGAACACGTCTTTTTAAAAAAATCATGGATTATATTTATAACCTGACTAGGGCGTGTCATATGTTTTCAAACAGTAAACAAACTCTAAATTCTAGATGAGTAGCTGGAGGGGATATTCATTTTTATTAAATTAATGTTATATTTACTGATTGCCGCAGTGATTTTATAAACTGAAACAGTGGTTACTAGGTGGGAGCTGTGGAAAAAGTCCCAATGTGAAATTACAGATGTGCCTTATAATTACTTACCACGCCCACCCAGCTCCCCAACCCCATCCTTGTGTATCTTCCAGCTGTATGGTAAAATTGTATTTCTATGAATAAAGTTTTCTTTGCATAATATCTGGTTGGAGTTGAAAAATGCTTCAGGAACAGAAACAGTGATGGGGATGAGCTTGAATCCCATGTTACCTAGGGACAGCTTGCTCCTTTGGGGAGGAAGAATACAAATGGGGACCTGGGCCTTCTTTCTCTTACTGAATACCATCCCAGCTCTGTCTCTTAGCTCACTCACATCCCTGATCTCATGACTGACTGAGTGAGGGGCTTTAGCCATCCCTGCTTTCACTTTATTGGCTTGAGCACTGTCTTCTCTGTACCTTAGTTTTCTTTCTCATTTCAGATTCCCATACTCTTAAGTCAGAGATCTCAATTGCACCACAAACTACAATGGGCAGAAGTTTCTATTATAGGTTAAGAACACACATGTGTGCCCAGCTGGTGTGGCTCAGTGGTTGAGTATTGACCTAGGATCCAGGAGATCAAGGTTCGATTCCAGGTCAAGGGAACATGCCCGGCTTGTGGGCTCGATCCCCAGTGGGGAGTGTGTGCAGGAGGGAGCCGATCAATGACTCTCTCATCATTGATGTTTCTCTCTCTCCCTCCCTCTCCCTTCCTCTCTCTGAAATCAATAAAAATATATATTTTAAAATGCACAAAAAAACCACACAAGTGCAAAGTGTACTTACTGAGCCTTGCCCAGGAAAGTGCATGTGCCCTCTTTTGAGGCCCTCCCATGTTGGATTCTGTCTACTCCAGGATCTAGGTTATTGCTGGATCAAGCCTTTGTCTTCACGACCAACTTATTAAGTCCGTGTTCTCTTTCCAGGCCCCTTTCACGCTGAGCTTCCTTGGGCTGAAAGGAGATGGAATCCTGGCCTGGGCTGCTTGCCTCCTCTCTCCTCACCTCACCCTGAAGTGCATTCTCCACTTAGTAGTTCAGTTTTTCCAGTTTCAGAAACAGCAGACTGATGCCAATGCCCCAGCTCCTACAGAGAGCTCTTCTTACTGCCTCTGGTTTCTGTTCCCAGCTCTCAGCCTGCACCCTGCTTTATTTAAATTACTTAACTAATTTTTTCTCATTATACAATTAACAATTACCCAGTGAAGAACATTTTAAAAATACAGAGAAATATAAAGAAGAAAATGAAAATCACCCAATTAGCCCCCCACCCATAGGTAACTACTCAAACATTTAGGTGTCTTTTTTTTCATATATCTTTTTGTGGATTCAAATTGTGACTCTACCTTTATTACCTGAGTGATTTGGGCTGTAAAACTTAATGTTCTTAGAATTTAGTTCCTTCCTCTGGACAAGAGGATCATAATATCTACCTTTCAGGGTGATGAAAGAGATGGTCTTTTACGTGCCTCTGAAAACAAGGCATTTTCTGCTTTCATGTTCCCATTATTATCACCCATTTTCTATGAGGTTTTCACCCTTTTATCACCCCTCTTCTATCAGATTTTCTAGTCACATGTTCCCTGGTTTTCTATGACTCATCTGACAAAAACTTAGCTTCAACTCTCAAGAAAGAGTGGAGAAGTCGACTTCACTGAACTCCGTGTTGAAATGAGAAACATCACCTCCAAGAGACATTGGATGGCAGCGAGGAGGCTGGTTTTGCCTGCCCGTGGTGTGAGGCTTCCAGGTGGGTGTGTCTGAGGCTGGCTCACAGAGGGGAGAACAAAGCTCCCGTGTTTGTTTTCCTGGGAGGCATTTCTCCTCTTCTGAAAGTCTGGGCCACGGGAGGGCGTGGTCTCTAGGGCTCCCTTCTGCCACTGACTTGTCAAGAGTTACCTCTTGGTCGCCTCTGTGACTTTGTTACCTCCATTCCTCTCCCTGGAAGGACCGAATCCTTTACCTACTGTAGTCCCAATTATGGAGCATTCAGGGGTGGAGAAGTCAAGGTTAGGGGTTAAGGAAAACTTCACGAGGATGGAGACATCGAGGGACAGGTCCTAAAAAAGGGCTCATGACTGTCACTTCCAAGTCTAATAATCAAAATGATTGTTGTCATTTATTAAGTACTTACGTGTGTCGGGAACTGGGCTGGGAACTTCACATACATCCTGTTACTTAATCCTTAAAACAACCCTCTGAAGCAGTGGCATTATCACCAGTTTGCAAGTGACAATGCACTCGGCGATGGAAGCAGTGCAAGGGCAGAACAAGAGTTGAGCGTGGGCCCCGGGGCCACCACACCCCGTGTGCTTTTCTACTCTACTTCCCTCTTTCCCACAAGCACAATAGAAGGACTAGCAAGCTTTGGCTTCACAGAAACTTGAGTGAAAATCCTGACTGACACGCACTACCTTGGATAAGGGACCTCACCATCCTTAGCTCCTTTATCTGCGACGTGGGGAGTTATGCTCCTTCCCACACTGGGCTGAAGCGAGGGCTAAGTGGCATTGTCGTGCCTAACTTGTTATGTATCAGGGACTGTTCTACGTGTGTTGCAAGCATCCACTCATTTAATCTCACAAGAACCGGATGACACAGGTGCCATGGTCACTCCCATTTCACAGATGAGGAAGCCAAAGACCAGAAAAGTAACGTATCTTGCTCGACGGCAGTGGAGGTAAACTATGAACACAGAGGCAGGCTGAGAGTATGCATTTCACTGCTTCGCTCTGGTGGCCGGCTGGCGGGCCCAGGACACAGAAAGCACTTGATCAGGAGAGGCTCTGCCTGGGGCAGTGGTCCTGCCCGGGGGAGAAAGCCATGGCCTGCTGCCAAGCTGTGGCACTATTAACCTCCTGGTGCAACTAATCTCGACGACATCTGTGTTGAACTTCATTTTCCCGTGTCCTCTTCGACAAGCAGAATGTAAATTCCTTTGGCGATGATAGGGTAAATGAATATACTAAAACTCAGGTTGACCTATCACCTTTGGTCACTCTTACCTGTTAGACCTTGGGCGAGCCACTCTACTTCTCAGGCCTCAGTTTCTGCGGGAAGATTGACGGCACAAGTGGACACTGGCTAGTCTATGTATAAAAATAGAACTCTGATCCACAGTCTGCGGCAACCAGCCCTGGAAGGCAAACCGTAACTTCAGTAGCAATCAGGCCCCAAATGGCCAGAACTTGGTTACTAGCTGACAGCATCCCTAATTTTTGTCCCCACTTCCAACTTATCATGAACAGGAGAAAGGCAAATATGAGCCCCTAACCAATCGCACAGGATGCCCCGCTTCTCGCTAGCCCACCGACAGCTCCCCCAGGCCAACAGCCTCCGAGCAAGGCGCCCCCGAGGCTGCCTTTCTTCCTGCTGTGAAGCTTCTCACTCCTGCAGGCTGTAGCAAGCTCTCAATAAGCAGCCTGCGCCTGTTCTCATTTGGATGGTCTTCATTTGTCCCACACTGCACTTGTAAAGTGAAAGAGCTGGAACAGATGGCTCTGGGTTGTGGAAACTGGATGTGGTACCATGGTTTCAGGGGATCTGATGAAGCTGCTGCTGCCTCCCATTGCCTGATGGGGTTTGCATGGTTCTTACGTCACCAGCTTTGGATTCAGACTCTGAGATGAGCACATCTGATTGGGCAGGACTAGCCTTCCATCTGATGGGAGGGGGCGCCTTCTCAGAAGAAAGGGCATCTCCCAAACCTGGAAATGAGATCCGGATGTGTGGCAACTCGAAAGAATAAAAAAGTCTGTTATATCTTTCATTTTCACCATGGCCTCAGGATGCCCAGATTCCCTATTTTCAAAGATTCAGGCCATAGCATCTTCTCTAACATAGTTCAGTGTAACTTTGTTTGCCCGTCTCTTTCCCATACAGATAAAGAACAAATGAACCATCCCCCTGTTGGACTCTTAAGTTCCTGCAGGACAGGACTCTGTCTTTTCAGCTTTTAAGCCTACCCTATCTCAGCAAAATATAACCTCACATTATTGATAAGGCCTGAATAGAAAAGCAAGAGGATAGGATGTCTTTAGAAGAAAAAAAAAATTGAAACTAAATGAAATTGTTTTTTCTATGTGTTTGGCCCAGAGCTAATTTTTTTCATGCGTTGAAAGGCTTTTGCTTTTTCTAAGAAAACAGACTGGGCCTTGCCAACAGGGGGCAGCAGAACAAATGGTGAGAGAGTGGCTGAGTGCAGCCGCTCCCCTGTTTCACTGAAAGGCTGGGAGGAGAAAAGGTGACAGGCTCCTATTCAACCCAGTTGTCAGGAGCCCAGTGAGTCAGTCCTTAACTGGAAGAGGGTAGGACTCGGAGGCCTAGGGGCAGGAAGCTGTGGATTACTAGGAGAGTGCTAACACCTTTCAGAGCGCATTCTTTGTCTTACTAAATGTTAGAAGCTGGGAGAAAGAGCATTCCGATCATTTCACAGGGTAATTGGGGTTCCGAGAGGGAGAGTGACTTGCCAAAGGTTACATAGTGAGTGATGTCAGAGAGTTGGCATTAAAACTCAGGTTCCTATACTTT